GGCCGGGGCCGGGGCCGCGGCTGGGGCCCGAGCCGGGGCTGGGTGCCGGAGGAAGAGAGCAGTGACGGGGAGTCCGACGTTGAGGTGAGGCGGTCGGAGGTGTCCCCAGCGCCGGGCGGGGCGGAGGCCAGGGGCTCCAGGGTTCTGGGCGGCCCCGAGCGCTGTTGTGGGCAGTGGGTTGCTCAGGGCCCGTGCAGAGAGAAGGGGTCCTGGAAATTGGCCTGGCGGGAGGTAGGCTGCACGGAGCTCTCGGCGGCAGGGGCCTGGGAAAGTGGGTAGAGAAGCCCGGACTGCAGCCGGTCACTTGGGCCGGAGGCGCGTCCTGCTGAAGGGTCCTGGGTCGGTCCTTCTTGCTAGTCGGCCGAGCTAGAGCAGGGAAGACTGGGGTGAGGAGGCGGTGGGGGTTGCACGCCTCACCGCAGGGGGTTGACAGCAGCAGCGTGGACCCAGACCAGGGTTAGCTGCGCTCTAACCTGTAGGCTGCCAGCCTGGCCTCATAGTCTCTGACATAAGCCTGGTTTGACCAGTGCCCCAGTTCCCCTCCTGACCTGGGTGGGGAGAGAGTAGAGTGGCGTGGGGCGTGGGTTGGAGGAGCACTGACAGCCGTGGACTGGTATAAGGCTGAGATGGACGCTCGGGTTCAGCTCAGAAGTCAACCCCCTGAGCCTCTCTGCTAAGCGGGAAGGTGTGGATCCTATTGCTTAGGGCCAACTGTTAGTAACCACCTGAGGGTTCTGAGTAGGTGCTAATACAGTAAATCATTTGATGCCTTCCCATCTCTCCCCACCACCTCCCACTTTGGTATTAGCTATTTCCATCCTCATTCGGGAGGAAACTCTGACCCAAAAGAGCGCAAACAGGGGTCCCGATTTTCTCTGGGTTAGGGTATGAATGTGGTGCCTACTGCCTGACCCTAGGAGACCCTGTTCTGTTCCCATCCTGCACCAGCAAACCGCTGACAGCTGTGCCAGGGTGGTCCGGCACCAGGGGTGGGGGTTCAGAATACCCTGTGCCCCTACTCTCTCTGACCTTTCAGTCTTTTAATTCCTCTGTAAATAGGCAAGGGTTTGTCAAGGGGAAGCCGGGCATATCCCTTGATACCTGAGTCCCAGGTGGAACGAGGGCTTTGGCACTGACTGCTGTTTCTCCCCTCCACCCCTGGTCCCCTAAATCAGGAGTTTCAGGGTTTTCATTCAGATGAAGATGTGGCCCCCAGTTCCCTGCGCTCTGCGCTCCGATCCCAGCGAGGTGAGTGACGGGGAAACTCTACCTCTCTAGCTTTACAGGAATGTCATTCTTGCTCTTTGTGTCAGCTCTTCCCTGCTAAACTAGAGCCTCCAGCAGTCCCCCAGTGTGTTCTGTGTTCAGAGCCCCAGCTAGGTTGGGCTGTGGGGGAACAGACAAGTAAGACTTAGCCCCTGCCCTCCTGGAGTGCCTTCCTCAGTCTGCGGGGCCCGCTTGACCCATCTCCCCACACCTATTCTCCTTTTAGGTCGAGCCCCCCGAGGCCGGGGCCGCAAGCATAAGACGACCCCCCTTCTGCCTGCTCGCCTAGCAGATGTGGCTCCCACTCCCCCAAAGACCCCTGCCCGGAAGCGGGGTGAGGAGGGCACAGAACGGATGGTGCAGGCACTGACTGAACTTCTCCGGCGGGCCCAGGCACCTCCAGTCCCCCGGAGCCGGGCATGCGAGCCCTCCACCCCCCGTCGGTCTCGGGGACGGCCCCCAGGAAGGCCAGCAGGCCCCTGCAGGAAGAAGCCACCAGCAGTAGTGGTGGCAGAAGCAGCTGTGACAATCCCCAAGCCTGAGCCCCCACCTCCTGTGGTTCCAGTAAAGTACCGAACTGGCAGCTGGAAGTGCAAGGAGGGGCCAGGCCCAGGTCCCGGGACCCCTAAGCGTGGAGGACAGTCTGGGCGAGGAGGCCGTGGAGGCAGGGGCCGGGGCCGAGGTGGTTTCCCGCTTGTGATCAAGTTTGTTTCAAAAGCCAAAAAAGTGAAGATGGGACAATTATCCTTGGGATCTGAATCAAGTCAGGGTCAAGATCAACATGGAGAGAAGTGGCAGGAATCCCCTCAAGGAAGAGTTGAATCCGGACAGGAAGGAGACCCCTGCTGGAAGAAGGATCAGAAGCTGGAAGAGGAGGAAGAGGAGGAGGAGAAAGAAGAGAAAGACGAGGAGGGGGGTGAAGAGAAGGAAGACCGAGCTATAGCTGAGGAAGAGATGGTCCTAGCCGAGGAGGAGGAGGCCAAGCTGCTGTCACCACCCCTGACTCCTCCAGCCCCTCCGCCCCTCCCC